TGAGTAAATTGGTGAAGGTGTTTTCCTTTTCTCTATCTCCTTTCCATTCGTCTGTCAAAATCTTCTCTCTTTCCTTCCTTATAGGGGTTTTTTCTTTTATTTAAACTATTGTTTTATATCTTATCTCTTTTAAATAGCTGGTTACTCTTCCCCAATCCGTCTCTTGTATCGGGTTGTCCTTACTTCTCGCTATTAAAAAAGTCAATCTGTCCATATTTCTAATGTCATAAACTTTCTGTAACCATTCTTCTGGTGCTGGTATATCTTCTTTCTTCCATAACTTTGCGTAACACATCCTCGCCGCCGTTGTTAGTAAAAATAGTAATTTGTCCATATTTTTTTCCATTTTTGATGATGTCATTCCTAGCAGAAATGTTTCTGGTTTTAGTTGGATATTTATTCCTAACATCTTTTGCATTGTTTCATGTATTTTTTTCCAATACAGCTTTGCCTTGTCACATGTCCACCACATGTGGAACAGGGTGCCCTCTTTTTTTCTACATTTCCAACAACTTGTGTTGACATTGCTGTAACATTTGCCTAGTTTGTACGGTGTCATACACCACCTAAAAGCCATTTTCAGCCAATTTTCCTTGAGGTCTGTTGCGTATGTAAATTTTAATTTCTTCATCCAAATTTCCTTCCATTCTTCAATTTTTATATTTCTTCCAATATTTTCTTTCCATCTCTTCATATATTCCTTTTCTTCGCTCGGATCTTTATTCCATTCTCTTAATTTTTTGTATATCTTTGTTATTATTTTTTCCGTCTGCATTATATTGTCCCAGAATGTAGTTTGGTCTTCGAAACCAATCTTTTCATCTTTTTTGAAGCTTTCCTTTATCTGGCCAAATTGAAACCATGAAATTTTACTGTTGATCTCTTTCATCTCTTGTTGAGTTTTTAGAATTATTTTTCCTTTTTCTTTTTTCACCAATTCTTTATATTTCGGCCATTCATTCCAACCTAATTCCCTTCTTTGTACAGCTTCTAGCGGTGATATCCACATTGGGGTTTTCTCACAGATTTTTCTCTTGTATTTTTCCCATGTTTTATATATAGCCGAACGTATAAAGTGGTTACCAAACTTTTTTTCTTTTTTGACTCCTTCGTACCACAAATACTGGTGCCAACCTGCTCTTAAGTCTATCCCTTCGAGATTCAGTAATTTTTCATTTTCTAATTTTGACCATTCCCTTACCCACATTAAAGCACATGCTTCAAAATATGTCTTAAATTCTGGGACTCCCATGCCGCCTCTTTTCCTTTCTTCGATCATATAATTAAATTTTATTCTTGATTTTTTCTTTTGCCATATAAAATTCATTACGTCTTTATTCCAATCTTTCAGTAATTTTTGATTTCTTATTATTGGCAGGTTTTGGAATAGAAATACCATTTTTGGTAATATCTTCATTTTCACAGTTGCTATTCTACCTAATAGGCTTAAATTTAAACTTTTCCAATTTTCCATGTCTTTTTTTATTTTCTTCCATGTTTCTGTATAATTATTTTGTAGCAATTGTAGATTTTTTGTTGTCAATATGATCCCTAAATACTTTAATTTTTGCACAATTTGTATCTTCCATATTTCCTCGATCTTTTTTTGTTCTTTGGCTGATATGTTCTTCGTCAATGCTTTCGTCTTTTCTATATTCATTTTAAAACCTGCTACTGATCCAAATTCTGTTATTGTTGTTAACCACTTTCCTAATTTTTCCAGGGGGTCCTCTACAATACATATTAGATCATCAGCGAATGCTTTGATTTTATATTCTTTTCCTTGTATTTTCGTGCCCTTCAGTTCTTTCTCCTCTCTTATTTTGTCCATTAAGACTTCTAGGGTTAATATAAATAATAAAGGCGACAAGGGACATCCCTGTCTCGTCCCTTTTTGAATTTCTAAGCTTTCTGTTTCATATCCGTTTATCCTTATTTTAGCTTCCTGTTTTTCACAGATGGCATTTATTATGTTCTGGAAATAATAGCCAATGTCTAATTCTTTCAAAAAGCCCAACAACACATCAATAACAAAAAAGCAATAAACAAAAACAATACAATGAATATAAGTCACATATAAACAATAACACACAAAGATTTAAAAAATCTTTGTGTCTAGAACAAGGGAAGTCATGGTGCCTCTCTATTCAGCTTTGGTCAGACCCTGCCTGGAATACTGTGTCCAATTCTGGGCACCACAGTTCAAAAGAGTTATTGACAAGCTGGAAGGTGTCTAGAGGAGGGCAACTAAACTGATCAATGGTTTGGAGACCATTAATCCCTATGAAAATATACACAAACAACATAAATGGTCTAAATTCACCGAACAAAAGAAATAAAGTTTTCAACAAGTTAAAGAAAAAAAAAACTACCATATCGTGGCGTTACAAGAAACACATATTGCCCAACGACATGCGATACATCTAGAAAACAAAAGCCTAGGGAACTTATTTTATGCATCGGCGCAAGAGAAGAAAAAAGGTGTAGCAATATACATAGATAAGAAAATCACATCTACATTGGCCTTCAAAGACGAAGACGGAAGATATCTCGGAGTGTCCATACAAAATCAAGGCAAAAAGATTCTAATTTGTAATATTTACGCACCAAACGAATCAAAAACCAACTTCGCAGCAAAAGTAAACCTTCATCCAAGTCATTATTTATTTATTTACTATATTTGTATTCCGCTCTTCTCAGCCCTCGGGTGACTCAGAGCGGTTCACAATAGCAAAATTTAATGCTTAAAACATCATAAAACAGTTAAAAACAATTAGAACAATAGACTTATAACAATAAATTAAACATCATATAACATCTCTCATCGTCTCATAGTTAAAATCAAGATCCAGTCTCATCATCCTATTTTTCCATATTCCTATATTCATTACATTGCCTATTCAAATGCCTGCTCGAACAACCAGGTCTTCACTTTCCTCCGAAATGCTAACAGGGAGGGGGCCGATATAATTTCTGTAGGAAGGGTATTCCACAGTCGAGAGGCCACCACTGAGAAGGCCCTGTCTCTTGTCGCCACCAAACGTACTTGTGATGCAGGTGGGATCGAGAGCAGGGCCTCCCCAGATGATCTTAACATCCTAGCTGGTTCACAGGAGGAGATGCGTTCGGACAGGTAAGTTGGGCCAGAACCGTTTAGGGTTAAGATATTGAACAGCACTGGGCCCAAGACCAAACTCTGCAACACTCCACTAGTCGCTTCTTTCCAGGATGAAGTGAAACCTTTGGCAAGCACCCTTTGGATTCAGTCACTTAACTAACTACAGATCCAATAGTAGCATTGCCTAGCCCACATTTGACTAGTTTACTTGCAAGAAGGTCAAGGGGGACTTTGTCAAAGGCCTTGTTGAAATTAAGATATGCTACATCCACAGCATTCTCTGTATCTACCAAAACACACACGTTAAAAAAGCCAATTATGAGTCTATAGAAATTGAGGATTCCTGTTCAGAAACACAGCCCTAATTTGTATGTATGGGATACTAAAGTATTCTTTCAACATGATTTGCATGATTTGCAGAAATGCTGTATGTCTCTTACTCACTGATTAGCAGAAATACTGTATGTCTCTTACTCACTGATTTCCAATTTACTTAGTATATCTTGAAGCTTTCTCCCAAGTTTTAAAAATGCAAGGGGGGTGGTGGTGGTTTTAATTCTAACGGAAGCTTTTATTCTAATTGGAATGATATCTGTGCATCAAGTACTTCATCCCTTGAAAAAATGAGGGGAAGAACATGGTTAATCCATGTTTTGTACAAACAGCTCAAAGAAAAAAGGTAATTCAATTAACAGCTGTAAGGTTAAAAGTTCATCTTATCTTTGCCCAGGGCTGGTGCTGCCAAGAGATTAAAGTGAAGTAAATGCTTTGAACAGCAGATTGGTGATAGTGGCAGAATTAATGGCTATTTCCCTGCTTGTTGCACTTAGCAACCTCCCTCTAATCCTGCTGTCTGCTCATCAAGTTATCTGTCTTCCAGGAAAAATAATTGCGATGTCAGCCACTTATGTAGATTTCTTCCCCTCTGTAGCAGATACAACTGCACCATGGAAAGAAAGTCAGACTCCTCCACTGAAAGAACACTGCCACGCGACGAAACTGACCATAGAATGACCTGTGGAGTCCCCGGTAACACAATGAGTTAAACCCTTATGCTTGCAGGACTGGGGAGCGAGGTGAGCTCCCGTCAGTCAGCTCCAGCTTCTCATGCAGGGACATGACATAAGCGTCCCACAGGATGGTAAAACATCTGGGTGTCCCCTGGGCAACATCCTTGCAGACGGCCAATTCTCTCACACCAGAAGCAACTTGCAGTTTCTCAAGTTGCTCCTGAGATGGAAAAAAACCCCAGACTAGTGCAAGGCAGGAGGGGAAAGCAATGATAAGGCTAGCACTGCTTGATTGTGTGTTCTTGAATGGCAAGAGGTTGGACTGCTCTCTCTTCCAATTCTATCCCTTGTGGTTTCTTACGATTCTGTGATTCTAAACATTGCTGAATCTGTTTCCCATCTACTACTACAACACACTGGTTCTTCGTTCTAGAGCTCCATTGATTAAATACAAAAAATTAAACCTTTAAAATAAATAAGTAAACAATTATTAACCTGGATATATCAAGTAAATGACAGAGGTATTCCCTATACATTCTTACAACTTTAGCCTAGCATTGCTAGGAAACCAACATGGACATGCTGAAGAATGACATGCATGTGAACTTTGTGACCTGATTACTCTTTTTCCTGAATTTCTAAGAAATTTCTAAAACACAGCACAGAAAAATTCTTCAAGTGCAGAAGACAGATCTGTGCAAATCAGTAAAAAGAGAAGAAAGACAAGCGCACTACGAGGAAGGGGAAAGCATGGCTTAGAAAGCATAGAGAAGCATGCATAAAACAAAGACAAAACATGCTACCCTCTTCATGGTTGCTGAACCAGGTTACAAGGAAGAGGCATGTAGATTAAAAAACATGCTGAATATTACCTTGTATGGAATAAGAATAATGTGCTGGACTGGACTGGCTTGTGGTTAACCCTGTAGTGCAGGTGAGAACACTGTGCTGACTTGGAGATGGAGACTGAATTAAACCACTCTCGGGTTTCATACCTGGCCACAGTGCACCTGAATCAGATAAATTGCACCAATTACAAACAAAATTGGCTGTGGTCCAGCCAGGTGTTCCTCTGGAATTATTTCTGTTTGTTTGTGAAAGTAACAACCCATTGCCTAAAGATAAAGAATTGTTAATTTTGCATGTGCAGGTAAGCCTAGAGGGGGGTAAAAGCAGAATCAAAGAGGAAAACGAAGAAGGAGGTAAAAAAGCGAGCCAATCATTAAAAGGGATAAGAGGGATGTGATAAAGTTAATCTCCAAGCCTTTCCAGGAAAAAAATGTGGTTGCTTTGCTTAAGAAGATGTGACTGAACTGAAGCAAAAACATTATTACCACAACTGGGCCGGGCTTTAGCACAGCTGGTAAATCACCAGCAAAGGTTGCTGTTCGGTGTGAGCTCCCGACTGTCAGCCCAGCTTACTGTTTACCTAAGCAGTTCGAAAACAGCTTGAGCTGTAAGTAGAGAAATTAGGTACTGCTAAAACAAGTGCGGGAGGTATTTTACGATACCATAAAGAAAAAAGATCAGAAAATGCCTGGTGACCAAAAGGAAGGAGGAAGTTCTGATGGCTCTTCGTCATAGAGGAGGGAGTGACAGCACCTCCCTGTGGCTGGATTCGAACACAATCTCCAAGGTGCCAAAAAGTTGCATTTTGATACAACATACCTCCTTTCTGTTCTGTCTGTCTCTGTCCTGTTTATTCAAAATGGCATTAAATGTTTGCCGTATATGTGTACTGTGAACCACCCTGAGTCTCCTTGGGGAGATAGGGCAGAATATAAATAAAGTGTTGTTGTTGTTATTAATATTATTACTCTGGGTTTAGTGGTTCTTCTGTAATAACACAATTATGTGAATAACAATAAATATAGAAACAGGTTCTTCCCTCTGAAAGCAAATGAACTACTCTGGTGGCACACAATATTTTACGATGTGGAGGATTGATTTCTCAAGCAGCTCATTCCATTATTGTTACTGCATGATGTATCAATCATCATCTGTTACTAAAAATATGCAATAGAGGAACACAAGAATACAGCAAAGAAATTAACAAATTACCCAAAATACCAACCTCCCCGAAATGTAGTAGGTTTTTAAAATCCATTCTTGGAGAAGTTTTTTTTTCTACCTTTCCTATTCTCTCAAAAATAGTAAAAATAGAGATTACAACCTTCTATACTACTCATTCGCTGTTCCTGTTGTATTTTGGCAATTATGTTTAAAATAATCCAGATTCATGTGAACTGTTAAGGCGTGTGGTCATGAGAGAGATAAAAATTCAGTGGTGCAGACTGTTGGGAATCAGTCTGTGTTTGTGTTCCAGGATCATGATGCTTATGATGAGAGTAATGATGGTGCTGAGGCTGAGGTGCAATATGGAGATGGTTTGGTCAATGATTTTCATACAGACAATGACAGAGAGGCCCCAGTGCAAAGGGCAGTTTCTCATGAGAATATTCCTGTTGAGCCTAGGGATGATGGTTTACTCCCTCTTTCTGTGAACTCTCAAGATTTGGGTTTGGAAAACAATCTGACACCTGGAAATTTTAATGAGCAGCCAGATAGGGAGTTGAAGGATAGGCGGCTGGAGATCAGCCAAGATCGACAGCAAACTCAGTGTTTACGTCACTCCGAAAAGCTTCATCAGATAAGGGGCAAGTGTGGGGGAAAGCGAAACCAGTTTCTGTGTTTGGGATATAAGGTTTGCTTCTGGGGAAAACCTGTTAGATCAGGCATCGTTTGGAAATCAAGTTCCTGTGCCATGGAAATCCTGTTCAAGGGGTCTTGTTCCTGTGGAGATTTTTAGCCTTTTGGATTGTCATTGCTTCCTGTTGATCCTGCCTAGATAAACACTGTCTTGGACTGCTTTTATATCTTGTGGGGACATTGCTTCGTGTTATTACATTTTACTGACTTATTACTTTTCAGAACCTTCTTATTTTTTTACAAGCATTTATTTTACTGGCTATTTACTAAGCTTCAAAAAAAGAGGATTTGTTTCTTTACTCATCATGTGGTGTGTTTTAAAGTCAGAGGGCTTTTTCCTGATCTGGAGTGCAACACAGACACGTTCACTTCCTTACATGTGTTGACTGGGAAAAATCCCAGAGAACTTCTGACAGATACAGCATGATCTGTTACATAGAGCTAGATCAAGTGTCAAACTCATTTTCATCTAAGACCACGTCAGCCTTATTTTGCCTTCAAAGGGCCATTGAATCCATGAAGGGAGAATCTGTGGATACACAGGGCCAGCTATAATTTTTTACATAATTGCCAGTGCTGTTTAGTTTTCACCCAGTTTGGGTCCCAAGATGTTATAGAACTCACATCACTTTTGATTATCCACCGTGCGGACTGCAGATCATGGGAACTGCAACCCAGCAGCACTTGTGGCTTTGAGATTGGGGAAAGGTTTAAGGACTTTTTACAGCCAGGCATCCTATCCACAAGCCTTGTATCCAAATCCAAACCCCTCTCTTCCAATTCCAAGAGAACAAATTGCAGTCTTCCAGATGTTACTGCATCACAACACCCGTAAGCTCGAGTCATGATGTCTATGGATGGGAAATACAGGAGTTGTAGTCCAGTATCTGGAGGGCCACGTAAAATGACATGGTGGGAAACACTCAGCCCGCAGCCTGGAGTTTGACACATGTGGGCTAGATGGACAAATAGGCTGAGCTGGTACAAAGTAGTTTCCTATGTAGAAAAAATGGTTCTAAAGTAAATTCCCCCTTTTGGAGATGTCTGGATCATGTAGATTCATATGGGAGGATGCAATCTGCTTTATTAATGGATTTAGCTACCTAAATCCACAGAATATCTCCCACATTTTGAAGGAGTCAGTTATGTTTTGAGACATATATGTGTAATACATTAAGGGTGTACCTAAAAGGATAAAAAAATGCAAAAGTCATCAACATCCTCACTTCAAGGTGATTTGGCTGAAGACTCTATACACACTTACCAAAAGGAGGTAGTCCATAGGCTTGGGTTGTCTGAGGATACACAGCATAAGTCTGTGCCTGCTGTAGTGCTTGGTATTGAGTCTGACCAGAATATGAGGCCATCGTTTCAGATACGGGTACAGAAATAACATGTGTATATGCCCTGTGAAATAGGAAAAGGAAATGTCAGTAAGCAAGAAGTACTGTTGAGTTGTTCCAGAAATAAAAAAGCTTTCCCTTCTCCAACCTCAAGCTGTTCCTCAGCAATAATAGCAGCCTTACAATATATACACGGCCTGAGACAGGTGTATGGTGGCCACAGTGGTCCACACCTTGGTTACATTCAGAATGGACTACTATAATGCACTCTATGTGGGGCTGCCTTTGAAGATGGATCGGAAGCTGCAGTTAGTACAAGGATGGGCAGCCAGATTACTAACTGGGGCTAGCTATAGGGAGCAAACCACGCCCCTATTAAAGCAGCTCCACTGGATTCTGATAAGTTTCCAGACATAATTCAAAATATAGGTTATCACCTATAAAGCCCTATACACTTCAGATCCAACCAGGCCCATAGCCAGGATTTTGTTTCGGGGCGGCTGAGTTTGATTCGGGGGGGGGGGGGGAGTCTGAGTGAAAGGGTCTACCCTAGCAAACCTTTTGTATCGTTACCCCAATACCCCCATGCATATGGGATATATTGAGCATGGTGATCAGATCATGATATGAATAAACATAACAGTTTAAATAATGTACCAGTAAGGCCTTCTCGCGGACCACCATGAGAATTTGGGGGGGGGGGGTGAAGCCCCCCCCCCCCCCCCCGGCTACATGTCTGGGTCCAACCTATCTTCGAGCTTGCATCTCACTCTATGAACCAGCACGGGTTTTGAGATCTGCCGGGGAGGCCCTTCTCTCAATCCCACCACCAGCTCAAGCACGGCTGATGGAGATGAGAGAGAGGGCCTTCTCAGTTGTGGCTCCCTGGCTCTGGAATGCCCTCCCTAGACAAATTAGGTTAGCCCCCACTCTCCAAGCCTTTCGGTCAAGTTTTAAGACATGGCTTTTTAGACAGGCCTTTGACCTTGTACAGTTTATGGACAGATTTGAGGACTTAGCGATTGCTCACACCGGGACTTGGATTGTTAATTGAAGGTAGCCAGTTTTATCCGCAGGTTCTACTGTGTTTTATGAATTCTTAAAATCTTGCTAGATGAGGGTCTGTGTGTGTTTGTTATTTATAGAATGATGTGTTGTGTTATATGGTTATGTATTGTCCATTTTGTATGCTGTATTTGCAGTGCTTTGTGAGTCACCTCGAGTCCCTTTGGGGAAATGGTGGCAGGATAGAAATAAAATGTTATTATTATATTATTACTCTCATCTCCTTCCTTTGGATAATGCAGTACTGCCACAATGTAAGAATTTTAAGAACTGGTAGCTGAGGACTTCAGGACTGGAGCCAAAAGTGAAAGTTCCCACTCACTTCACTCAATGTGGGAGAGAAGCAATTTGCATTGAAAAGCCAGTGTTAGGGTTCCAAAACTGGAAGAATTAAAGTAGGTGAGAATTATCCACAGTATTTGTCTTATTTTCTTCTTTTGTGAATCCATGAGAGTAGTGGTCACAAAACCGATAAGTGGATCAGGTATTAGCCCTTAGCCTCTCTGTGAAATTTGCCCCAGCTTCCAACTAGACAAGCTCTAAGAAACCACCTTCCGTTGGCATTATACATGAATACAAAAGAGACAAGATTGGGAACCTCATTAATTTAAGGCAAGTTTTTTACTTCTCAAAATAAATCTAATTTTGACTAGAAGATTTACGAATAAACTTCTCTGTGCTGTTGAAAATTATAATTATGTGATATTTTGTAACAATCCCAGGTAGAGATGAAATATTCAGGACTATAAAAACTTTAATCTAAATCACAACAAAATGAAAAGAAAGTGGAGAATAGTCCATGTTCCAAACCAGAGATAAGAACTAAACCAATGTCAACAATTTATGCTTTCTGCTGGTGGACAGTATTTAACCCTGTAGTTTATGAAGAACCCTGAAAGATGGCACAACTATACATCTTGCAAATGTTATTAGAACTTAAAGAAGAAACCAGAATTGACCAGGACCTTAAAATACAGTAATAAAATCCAAACAAATATTAAGTCACGAAACAAATTATAAAAAGGACACAAGAAAGAAAGAAAAGAGAAGATTGTTTTTAATTTTTGCATAGCATGTTTGTTTTGCTGTCTATGCCCCTGTTCAGAAGATTTCACCTCACTTTCTGTCCCTGGGTTGTTGTGGAGACAAGGATAGGTGATAAAGCTTCAGTGGAGACACCTCTTTCCCATGATAACTTTTACAGAAGTGATTTTCTTTTCCTAGGGGTAGATTTCCTCTCCTTTTCTGTTGTCTCACCACCATGTGTAATTGGAGTTGCATATAAGTCAAATGTTTGTCACTGAGGGACTGCCTGTATATGAAAGCTTACAGATTAAGTACCTTAAAGAAATGAAAAACTGAAGATGCTGAAATAAACCATTCAACTTACTTTGTAGTATACATCTGTGAGGTATATTCATTCGATGATCTTGGCATGTAGTCAGTGCATGCTATAACTGAAAAACATTCATATATATGAAACTGCAGGAAAACTATTACAAACAGTTATGCAGAAACTATTAATGGAAAGTGACATACAATGTTATTTAGAGTTGTACCATTCTGTTCTGAAGAATACAAGGAATTGAAAGTTCTAAATGGAAGCTCTTACCCTCAATCTCTTGTTCATATGAAAGGAGAGGGGAATGGAGGAGAAGTCATGAAGGCTCAAAATGATGCAAAACCATTTTTGAGATTATGATTTGCACTTGATCAACATCCCTGCAAGAGGGAGTTGTTGAACCAAGGATGAATGATTTGGCCAGAAAAGCCCATTTCTGGTGAGGTTCCTTGGTGAGATTTGGAGCTCAAGAGATTGATTTTCCTGAACTAGAGTTATGATTAGAGAGGACATAGATCATTGTACAAAGGATTTGCCAAATGTTTGGCATAACTTACTCAAAGAAGAAAACACAGTCTTCTTAGAACTCTCTCCAGCACTATGGAGTATTTATATATATAAGGTAAAGGTTTCCCCTTGACATTCAGTCTAGTCGTGTCCGACTCTGGGGGGTGGTGCTCATTTCCATTTCTAGCCGAAGAGCCTTGTTGTCCATAGACGTGTCCAAGGTCATGTCGTCGGCATGACTGCATGGAGCACTGTTACTTTCCTGCCAATTGATTTACTCACATTTGCATGTTTTCAAACTGCTAGGTTGGCAGAAGCTGGGGCTATCAAATCAAATCAAATCAAATCATTTATTTCGGTCATTGACCAGCACAGGAAATAGTCACATTTTCATGCAAACTTGGTATGTTTGGTACATTAAAAATATAAATATAACTACTGAAGCACAATATGGGTGAGGGAGCAGGGTAAAAACATACAATGCCCAGATCCATCACCAAATTGTAGATTTGGAGAAGAAGATTACTGGACACACAGTTAACTTTTGGGACTAGTCATTCCCTGACGGATTTTGTATGCTGCTGCACAGAACTTTGCAACATTGTAGGTTGTAGCTGAATTAATATCTGCAAGTAGCATGGAGGTATAAAATTGTCCTGAATGGCCTGGGTGCTTGTATAACAGAGGTAAGATAAGCCTGGCATGGATATCCCTGTAGAACGGGCACTGGAGGAGCACATGTTCTATTGTTTCTACATGACCCGAGTCACAGGGGCAGAGTCTCTCTGGGAAAGCTGGGGCTAACAGTGGGAGCTCACACGGTTCCCTGGATATGAACCAGCGACCTTTTGGTCAGCAAGTTCAGCTGCTGCGTCACTGAAGGCTCCCTGCTCTCCCTCTCCCTCTCTCTCTATATATATACTTTTGCTACACTTAAATAACATCAGTTCACCCAACAGCTCAAAGTAATTTATGTAATTCACTCTCCCACAGCAAGTCTACATGGTCAGTCATGCTGAGACTAACATAAGGAAGAACTTTCTGAGAGCAGAGTCACTTTAAAATGGAAAATAATACACTAATAAATAGTTTGTGTGAGTGTTTTGAAAAATCCTTTCCATTATATGGTTTGTTTGGTGGTTTTTTTGTGTGTCAGGAGCGATTTGAGAAACTGCAAGTCACTCCTGGTGTGAAAGTATTGGCCATATGCAAGGATGCTGCCGAGGGGACACCCATATGGTTTGACCTTTTGATCTTTTGACCTTTCCATCCTTGTGGAAAGCTTCTCTCATGTGTGCTCCCTGGATTCGAACCTGCGACCTGTTGGTCTTCAGTCCTGCTGGCACAAGGGTTTAACCCAATGCACCACTGGAGGCATTATATGATAAATCTTTGAGAATCACAGGAACGGTGATGCAGAACCTTGATGCCCGAAACCATCCTTTTTTTCCAATCAACCACAAATATTCCCTTCCTCCCCAAGCCACTTACTTTCATTGGACATGGACAGGTTTGAACCAGCATTCGAAGATCCAGGTTTCTGATCACTACTGTCAGTGCTGTTTACTTGTCTAAAATGAAGAATACAGGCAATTAAGGCTGTTAATGGCTTGTGCAATACATAAGAGCATCCTCAGTTTGGAAATCATGCCAACCCATTGTTTATGGTAACCTTAGTTAAGAAACTTGCACATTAGTTTGAGCACACCACAAGGAAATCAAAGGTCAGCCTGCTTTTGTGATCTATTTGACTGAACAATTAATATAAAAACTTTTACAGCTAAACAATGAGGATTGCAGACAAACTTCACACTGTGAACTGATACATTGGCTGATGTCCTTTCATAAATTTATTTGTACCACCAATTGGAAAAGTTGCCTTTTTTTGAACTACAACTCCCACAGCCATTCTGGCCATATGATCCTGGAAGTTGCAGTCCAAAATAGTAGCATTTTTAATAACTCGTTCAGAAATTAAGATCTTCTGGGGAGGCCCTGCTCTCGGTCCCACTTCCTTTGCAGGTGCAGTTGGCGGGGACGAGAGACAGGGCCTTCTCAGTGGTGGCCCCTTGCCTATGGAACTTCCACCCCAGCGAAATTAGAGCAGCCCCTTCCTCCTGACCTTCAGGAAGAAAGTAAAAACATGGTTATGGGACCAAGCTTTTGGATAGTAAGTTTTAGTGCAATAAGAGAATAGGGACTAGAGAAATGACTAATGGAATGGCCTTGGATCATGATTTGGGACGGCCTGATTTTAATAATTGGTTTTAATATTGATATGTTTCAAATGTTTTGGTTTTAATACATTTGTTTATTTTACTGTATGTATGTTTATGGCATTGAATTACTGCCTATCTCTAAGGCCATTCTGAGTCCCCTTTGAGGTGAGAAGGGCGGGACAGAAATGCAGTAAAAAAATAACTAACCATGACTTATGTATAATGACAGATTGCAGCTTCTGTTGTGGTTGTAAAACTCAATTCTTTTCATATTAAACTACAGTTTAATAGCAAGGAAGAAGTAATGTACTAAAACACTTTTTCACTACACAGCTTCAACCAGCTTCCTCTCTGTCATTACATCCTTGTTTGATGAAAGGATAGCTAGTAGTCACTTACATCAGAAATGGGGAACTATAATGGAACATTTATTGTTATTTATTTTTTATATTAATATCCTAGATTTCCCTTAAAATTAGGGGTCAATCTGGCTATAACATCCTGAAAAAAACAAATTGCCATCAGAATTAACTGCCCTGAGTCCCCATGGGGAGAGAGAGCGAGTTATATATAAAGATGATGATGATGATGATGATTAGAAACACCACAAGATGAGTCCACAGCAGACACTCTGCTGGCTGTCGTATTGGATCACACGTCGAACACTTCCCAAGTGTCTAGGACTGTGTGATGTATTGGCGAATAATGTGTGCAGATCCCAGTAACGTGGCCTTCTGCAGCTGGAAAGACCTGAGGATCAGAGGTGGTCTGGTTGGTTAGTGGGAGGCAGGGCTTGGGAGCAGTGAAGGCTTCACTCAGGTCCTCCCCTGGAAACATGAAAGCTGCTTCCCACATGCGCAACATACCAGCAATCAGCTCACATCAAGTGTTATCTCTACCCATACTAATTAATGACTTAGATGAAGGGTTAGAAGGCATGATCATCAAGTTTGCAGACGACACCAAATTGGGAGGGATAGCTAATACTCCAGAAGACAGAAGCAGAATTCAAAACGATCGGAACAGATTAGAGAGATGAGCCAAAACTAACAACATGAAGTTCAATAGTGACAAATGCAATTTACTCCACTTGGGCAGAAAAAAATGAAATGCAAAGATACAGAATGGGGGACATTGCCTGGCTCGACAGCAGTACGTGTGAAAAAGATCTTGGAGTCCTTGTGGACAACAAGTTAAACATGAGCCAGGAATATGATGCGGTGGCTAAAAAAGCCAATGGGATTTTTTGCATAAATAGGAATATAGTGTCTAGATCCAGGGAAGTCATGCTACCTTCTATTTTGCCTTGGTCAGACCACACCTGGAATACTGTGTCCAGTTCTGGGCACTGCAATTGAAGGGAGATGTTGACAAACTGGAATGTGTCCAGAGGAGAGTGACTAAAATGATCAAAGGTCTTGAAAACAAACCCTATGAGGAGCGGCTTAAGGAGCTGGGTATGAAGAAGAGAAGGCTGAGAGGAGACATGATGGCCATATATAAATATGTGAGGGGAAGTCATAGGGAAGAGGAAGCAAGCTTGTTTTCTGCTGTCCTAGAGACGAGGACACGGAACTATGGCTTCAAACTACAGGGAAACGACAGGGAAGGGGATTCCACCTGAACACTAGGAGGAAACTCCTAACTGTGAGAGCTGTTCAGCAGTGGAACTCTCTGTCCTGGGCTGTGGAGGAGGCTCCTTCTTTGGAGGCTTTTAAGCAGAGGCTGGATGGCCATCTGTTGGGGGTGCTTTGAATGCGATTTTTCTGCTTCTTGGCAGGGGGTTCGACTGGATGGTTCATGAAGTCTCTTCCAACTTTATGATTTTAATTAAGCATCTGGATTTTGTATAAATGATTGTTTTGTTAGTAGTATTAAACTGATTGTTGATTCTCACAACTTTGGGTGATCTTCACATGGTGATGGATCTAGTATGGAGGAAGAGGGGTTTGAGTGCACCTGCCCAACCCAGGATTGGGAGAGGTCCCCTTCAAGGATTTTGGAAGAGTAAGCTAACACTCTACACCCAGTTCAAGGAGAGATGGCCTTGCTCTCAGGTGGTAGGAAACCACATTGTAGTTTCCACCCATGTGGTTTCTGCATCTGTAATTCCAGAGTTACCCAGCAGTAATCCAAGGTGAATGAATTCCCACTAACCAGCAGATGGGCTGATAATGATGGGCTGACTGATGCCTCAAACTAGTGTTATGTTGTGGGCCAGGCCTATTCGCCTGTAACTGATAAAGTTGTGGTCCTTCCATTCAAACATAAGAATTGGCCTCTTGCTAAACAAAACCCCACACTAAAAATTGACTGCAAATTCACATTTTAAAATGAAATCTAGTAATAATTTGCTCATTGCTGAAAAAAAGATTGCTAGTGTTATTCAGCTTTCCAAACTTCAGCTTCCATGTAAAACTAAAACAAAAAAGTCTTACAAAATACTCTTTTAAATAATATTTTAAAAACTACTCAGTTCAAAAAGATTAGTAAAGGTAAAAGTTTCCCCTTGATGTTACATGTAGTCGGTGGTACCCATTTCCATTTCTAAGCCAAAAAGCCAGTGTTGTCCATAGACTCCTTCAAGGTCATGTGGCCAGCATGACTGCATGGAGTGCAGTTACCTTTCCATCAGAGCGGTACCTATTGATCTACTCACATTTGCATGTTTTCAAACTGTTAGGTTGGCAGAAGCTGAGGCTAACAGTGGGAACTCATCCCGCTCCCTGGATTTGAACTGCTGACCCTTCGGTCACAAGTTAAGCAACTCAGCAGTTTAACCCACTGCACCACCAGAGCCCCCTCAAAAAGATTAGCTGAGCTAAAATGTCACTATAAAAATGGAATTTTCTGATTGACATGATACACATGAAAAAGGAATTTGGAAAATGTTGTTCAAAAAATTACCTTAACAGCTGCTCACGCGATTCCTGCATCTTGGCTTTTTTCATCTGCAAAGACAAATATAAATATTCAAATATATATAGTTACATTATTATTAATAAGATTCCTGCACACAAAGAAAAAGGCTCAACATTTTGGGTGGTCAGCAAAAATACGCATATTTAGCTAAATATGAACAATGTCATATGTGTGGCAAAGGATTGATTCATAAGGATTGAGATGACTAAAGCAAGCTTGAGGTCCGAATGGTCCTCTCATTCCTTGCCTCTTCTTTAATAGGTGGAAATGATAGAACAGTTTTGTTTTGAAACTGATCATGACCTTTGTTAAATTCTCAAAAAAAATTTTTTTTCCTCCTGTGTGGGGTTTAACCCACTGCGCCACTGGGGGCATGGGTTTGACCATGCCTGCACTATATATAAAATTCAAGACATACATCTTTTGTTTAAACAACAGTGATATCCCTTAAATTTCTCCCATCTGAAAGGTATGCCTTGCTACTTCAGTCTATCGGACATAAATTGGTAGCTTTTTCTTCAGAGTTCTCATAGGGGTATCTTTCAAAATGTTTGTTTCTATATTATAATTGCCTGAAATGTTGCTGCAAGACAGACTCTTGTATTTACTTCCTCACAAAATGAACGATGACATTTTGGGGAACTTCCTCTGTGATGCAATTTTCAAATTCACTCTGCAGATTCAAACCCGGTGGTGCAATGGGTTAAACCTTTGTGCCAGCTGAACTGCTGGTTGAAAGGTTGGCAGTTTGAATCCAGGGAGCAGGTGAGCTCCCGTATGTCAGCTCCAGCTTTCCATGCGGGACGGTTTGAATCTGGGGAGAGGTGAGCTCCTGTCTGTCAATGCCAGCTTTCCATGCCAGGACATGAAAGATGCCTCCCACAAGATGGTAAAACATCTGGGTGTCCCCTGGGCAATGTCCTTGCAGACGGCCAATTCTCTCACACCAGAAGCAACTTGCAGTTTCTCAAGATGCTCCTGACACACACACACAAAACCCAGTTTTCATTTACGTCACCTTCACCAGCCAAGGCCTTAGCCTTCCTTTCTCTTATGTTCCCAATTAACTTTCCCCAAAAATAAGGAATATTTCCTGAATTCAAGCAATGCCATTAATTATAGTTCTTTTTAATCTAATATTACTGCCATCATTGATCATTTCTCTGTTCATATCTCCAATACATAACTAGATTTTCTACGTGATTTTTAAAAAAATTATTTTGGCACTTGAGATAGGGTACTCTTAATTCCTTTCAGTTCTGGTCTAAATTCCCCTTTAATCTCCATTCCCATCTGTGTTATCTGATTTAAACCATGAAAATAAAAAGAGGGCTCCATTAAACTAAAAGCCTTTGCAGACAACATTATGATAGTCTTGGAGAGACATAACATTCAACAGAACCACTATTTTAAAATATTGGAACAATATGGAGAAGTCCCTGGCCTTTGAATTAATAAAAAAGAAGAAGATATTAACAGAGAATGTATCAACAAAATGCAAGAGGAAATTAGAGGAGACAATTGGCTTTAAGGTATAAAAGGTGAAATATTTTGATCTTGAAGTGCTGAATAAAAATTCAAGATAATTATGGGGAAAAAACTAGAAGGTGCTAAACCAAGATGTGGAGAGACTGGAATTGTCCATGCTTAGAAGAATTTCTACAGTCAAAATGAACGCTTTGTCAATTGTGTTGTTTCTTTTTTAGACCATACCAATTTTATCAAATGATATACCATTGAAAACTATAAAAAACTGTTAAAATTCATTTGACAGTGCAAGAAAATTAAGGATATCTTGTTTCCCCAAAAGTAAGATCTCCCTTGCATGAATTTTTCAGGATTTTTGAGGTTGCTTGAAATATGAGTGAAAGAGGGTCTACCCTAGCAAACCTTTTGTATCGTTACCCCAATACCCCCATTCATAAGGGATATATTGAGTATGATGATCAGATCATGATATGAATAAACATAACAGTTTAAATAATGCACCAGTCAGGCCTTTTCGCGAACCACCATGAGAATTTCGGGGGGGGGGGCTGAAGCCCCTCAACCCCCCCCCCCCCCCCCCCCCCCCCCCCCCCCCCCCCCCCCCCCGGCTACCCTTCCCTTGACCCTCACCTTCAGTGGCCTGTGAAGTTCAGCTGTCTCCTCTTCCTTGCAGTCCAGCTTGTGATCAGAGCTTTCTTCCTTGCCTCAAAAGCAGGTAAGGAATGAAGAATCCAACATCACAATTCCTGGCTCCTCCCTTTGGTCAGCATTGGACCCTTCCTTCCTTACCTGCTGTCCAATACTGGGCAAAGGGAGGGGTTGAGAAGGGAGCCATTGGAGCCTTCCTTTCTTGCCTGGGCTTGAGGAGACTGCTATTACGTGAGCCTCATTTGCAAACCCAGGTGACAAGTTGAAAGGAGACTGTGAGAGGACTAACAGGAGTCAGGTCTTTATTTGGGACAAAGAAGGGGAGGGCCAACAGAAGTAGAAGGTTTTGTGTGTGTGTGTGTGTGTGGGAGGGAGGTATGCTTGCAGGACCCCTTCCTAAACAGTCATGCTGCGTCGACTCACGTTTTCTATGCAAGATACCCATGGACCACTTTTCTGTTTCTTACGGACCACCTTTGGTCCATGGACCACTGGTTGGGAACCACAGACAATGCCCCAAGACATCTATATGAACTTCTACACACAAAAAACATTTCATTAAATTGATTTTTTTTAAAAAAAATAGAGAAGTGATTGACATATAAAATGTATTACTATGGGAAAATGACCATGATAGACTCAAAACACAGGAAGAATTAATAATAGAAGAGCATGACTTCAAATGGCATCAATAGAGACAACAGGTAAAAAGCATTTAAAATAGATTTTAAAAAATCATGCCTTTGGGGAAAAATGATATTTGTCATTAAATTGTACACAGATGATGAACACTTTATTGGGAAAATGTATACAATGTTGAAAATCTAGCTGAAAGATTAACAAGTGAAAGAATGTAGAATTAAATGGGCACAAAATTTTGGATATAAAATACACTATGTTTTGATTTAAAGGGAAATTTTTATAACATGATTTGTAGATGGTAGAACAACAACAGTAACAATAACAACAACAACAGGAGCCCATGAGAACATATCAGGATTTTAGTGCTCTGGACTTTAAAAACCAGGCCCACACAGAAACTATTATGAGCAAACAAGGTCTGTTCACGGAAACTAAATATTCTAGCAGGGTTCACAGTTTCTATAACTTAATATAAAAATCTTATTTTTTAGAATGACCAAAATAGAAAAATAAGTCACAGCTATTCCTAGCATCGTTCTTAAGTGGATCAATTCAGAAATCACAACTAATAATCTGAAGTGGATTTCCAATTCCGATTTGGAGTGTAAGTGCTAACCATAGATTGCCAATTCAGGCTGGATCTACACTGCCATAAAATCTAGAATCTGATCCCAGATTATCTGATTTGAACTGGATTATATGAGTCTACATAGCTATACAATCTAGTTGTCGATCCAGCCCTAGTCCTTCCCTGCATATTCCCAACCTTGGGCTTCCCTGCATATTCCCAACCTTGCTGTGGAAACGGCACCAAAAGACCGGGTTTTCTGCAAATCAAGGCTAAAAGGCAAACTAATGCTTTGTAATTACGCCAAGAACGCTAACAAATACAGATAAGAAATATTAATCTTCTCTTATAGCTGGAATGAGGCCCGTTGTCTAAAAGAATTGCAATTTGATCTCCAAATGCAATTTAAAGATAGGTATCTGGCAGAAATAACTGGTTAGTAATAGTTAGGTTCTAATAAATTAACCAATCTGGGGTACTGTATCAATATGTAGAATTGAAACAAACTAACCTCTAATTCAGATCACTAACATAAACCTCACCTGCAATTTGAGGCTAATATCAAAGAAAAAATCCACTAAAGCAGATTCTTGGAGCAGTTTTACTTTTTTAAGGGTCCTAATCCACCTCATTTAGGATTCAAACAATCAAGACCCAACTATCTTGTTACTTTGAATATTTTTATATTCAGGGAAAAAATGGGAAGCTGGGAAAAACCTAACAATTTTCAGAAGTGCAGATAAAATATCACAATAAAAGTAATATAACATAGAGCAGTGAGTTGTCTTGTTTTTGTTTCTCCAGCTGGGAAATCCTTCTAGTGTTATCGATATGATGAATATTTCCACATTTTCTGTATTTAAAAAAAAAATTGTTATGCTGCAGAGTACCTTTAGTTTTTTGGGACTTTTTTTAGAGTGTTTTCTAAATGTTCCTTTTTGCAAATACATGGGCAGTGTGTATCTTTTCAAAATGATGGGTGCTTTTGGGTCATCTTCGAAGTCACTTCTGACTTGTCTTTGCTTTGTTTCATACTGTTCACTAATGGTCATGCCATCACTAATGGCTTTTTAAAGAACTCTCGGGTAGCACTTTATTTCCTGGAAACTTTGTTTATAATTACAACACCAATCTATCTCTAAGAGCTCTAAGTCCTATGTTTTCTAGTTACTAAATATGTTACTGTTGTTTATATAATTTATGTCTAATGCCGGCTATGTTAATTTTTTTTGAGACATGGTTGTTTGTTTTATGTTTCTTATTTATGATTTGAATCTGGCATTGTATGTTTGCCTTCTTTTGTTGTAAATCCACCCTGAGTCCCTTTGGGGAGAAAGGACAGAATATAAATTTATAATTATAATAATAATAATAATTATTATTATTATTAAACATAATGGCATGCTGTATAAAATATTTACATGAGAAAAAGAAGAAAAGACCAGGAAAATAATCACATTTTTAAAACTTTCTTTTGTAATTGTTATTTTTGAAAGAACACTGAAAAGGTATCTTTAGAAAGAAAACAATGGATGGAGAATCAGAATGGAAAAAAATTATCAAGTTCTGAGTTGTGAGTTTTCCGGGCTGTATGGTCATGTTCCAAAAGCATTCTCTCCTGATGTTTCACCCACATCTATGGCAGGCATCCTCAGAGGTTATGAGGTGAAACCTTAGGAGAGAATACTTCTGGAACATGGCTATACAGCCCGGAAAACTCACAACAACCCAGTGATTCCGACCATGAAAGCCTTCAATAATATATGATCAAGTTCAACATTTATTTCTACAGTGAAATCTATAAACCTATTTTCTTGCCTCATATAAATTTCTGACATATTAAATTGTTCAAAAGCTTAGTGAAACAAAATCTCTCCCCCCACTTCATCATAGAGATATGGCTATTTAGGCGGTACGGCTATTTGAATGGAGAAATCCAAGTTTGCGATCTAGTTGTTTGAAAAAAATGGTGGCGATGCGGCACTAATATGTCCGAATAACAGAAATCCAATCCCAGCCCTTTTTGAGTTAAGCACTCAAAGCCTAGGCACGGGTGGGACCAATCTGTCAGTTTCAGCTTCTTCCACACTTGAACGGTTAAGTTTCAATTTATGTTCATTCAGAATTAGATGTTCAAACTGGTAATTTTTTAAAACAAAAACAAACTGAAATACATTCTTATTCATTTATTCAGAAACCCACTGCTATTTAGAAAATATGTTGAGCATAATTTACAAAACTATCTATTTATTGTAGATACTTCAATTGCCATTTGTGTACCTTCACAGAAAGGCTGACAGGAATTCTGCTTTTCTAGTTAACCCCAAAACGCCAGATTTAAATATTTGTAGGAAAGTAATCTCGACAGAAACCTGATAACATTAATTATAATATAATAGTTATTATTATTATTTGTGCCCTGCCACCATCTCCCCAAAGAGACTCGAGGCGGCTCACAGACGAACTCCAATTAACAAATCTATGCTTCCATAGTACTGTATTATCTACATGCCAAATTGCAGGCCTTCAAGAAATACTACAAGAAATCTGAAATACCAATTTTTAATATTTAACCTGAAATAACCTGAACTATATGATTGTGGTTTAGAAAACAGCCTTTTTGTATTGATTCATGAATCAGTTCTTGATTTGCCAAGCAAGTATAAGTGGGGTTGTTGTAGGTTTTTTCGGGCTATATGGCAAGCATAGATGCAGGCGAAACGTCAGGAGAGAATGCCTCTAGAACAGTGCTTCTCAACCTGGGGTTCCCAGATGTCTTTGGCCTATAACTCCCAGAAATCCCAGCCAGTTTACCAGCTGTTAGGATTTCTGGGAGTTGAAAGCCAAAAACATCTGGGGACTCCAGGTTGAGAACCACTGCTCTAGAACATGGCCATATAGCCCGAAAAAACCTACAACAACCCTGTGATTCCGGCTATGAAAGCCTTTAACAATACAAATATAAGTGCTTTTTTCATAAAAAGGCACAAAAATCAGAAAGTACTAAAAAAAGAGTAAGGGTTTTAGAAATTATAATTGAAAATATGCTCATGAATCTCTATATAAATATATATGTATTTGTCTTTTTTTTGCACAACTGGTTACTGAGTAGCTCCTAAGCCCGAATTTCCAACTGTTAACAAATGGTAACTACCCCTTTTCCTTCTCAAGATATGGTCATTTTCACTCTACTGTACCAATAAAGCAAGAAAATTCCTTAATTCTAATGCTAAATCATGATTTTAAAACTCCTTCTGCAATTTTTTTCAAAATGAAAACTCTAAATATACTGGAATATTTAATAATAATAATGTATTTAGAATACCTTGTTTTTTTGTTATATTTGTTGTAACAAATGCTTTACAGAATGCTAAAAAATCTACTCCCTTTTTCTATTTCTGCAAGACAAAACAGAACAAATGCAATCATTTCCAAATTGCAATATCTTCTTCTATTGTTCAGGCAAATTCTTTTGCATACTCACAGGCTGTTCAGTTAGATCTTGTGCCTCTTCCATGGATGAGCGTATTTTGAAAACTGCTCCAATGCGCAGAAGGTCTGTCTGTCTTCCTCTGCTGTCTTCAAAGCCTGTTTCAAAAGGTGTTCATGGCTTTAAGTACTTTGGGGAACGCTTATCATTGAGGCTATCAGTGACCATAACCCTGTCTCTAATGGACCGTTTTCTAAACATGTGTGGGTTATTGAAAAATAAGAGACCAATTTACACACGAGGGGAGAAGATGGAAGTACGATATGACCATTAAATTCCAACTCGTAATATATAGGACAAGATAACAAAAGCAAGTGTATGTGTGCACCCCATGGCACGTGGCAGATTCCCTTTGTATTTCTTTGTCAGGCAGTTGTTGCAGGAGAAAACATATTCCATATTTTCAAAAGGTCCACGTGTGAGGCAGGATTACCAGAGTTGCATTAAAATGAGAAAAGTCCCGGTCATAGCATTGATGACTGCTTTGATAGGATCTAACCTGCTTTAATTGAGAGCATTTATATAAGTTGCACACACGTGCGCAGAATTATACGTAAACACCAACCAGGGCAAAAGTTAATAAGAGCATGTTTTGATGATCAGTTTGCTGCCATAATTGCTCCTAAAGATGTCAATTTTTAAATGACCAAACAGTAAAATTTTGAAATTAAAGGTCAAGATCCTTAAGCGATTCATGTACATTGAGGCATTCTGTCTTTTTCTTGGAGTTGAAAAATTCAGTCACCCAAAAACCACAGCCAAAGGTTGATCCCAGACCCTCTCAAGCAGCAATAGTGGGAGACCAGAACTCCTATCAGAAAGGAACAATCATGAATCCATATCACAGTTTGGAAAAGTTACTTTTTGGGATTCCAACTCCTGCCTTATCACACCAGAGCATGGATCCACATTAAATCCGGTTTCTGCCTCCTGCAGAATTCTGGGGTTTGTAGTTTAGTGAGGCCCAGGACTTGACTAGCTGAGCAAGTTAAAGAACCCTCCCCTAAACTACAAACCCCAGAATTCTGCAGTAGGCAGAAACTGGATTCAAAGTGGAGCCATGCTCTAGTGTGATGAGGTCCAAAGTGTGACCATGGTGTGGCTATTCTGAGAGTTAGATTAAAAAATGGCATTCCCAAACTCTGCTACACATAAAAGCATTCAATTCTCACTTGATCCTTGATGCAGAACACTTTAAAAAGTGACTTTTACTTCTAGCAGTTAGTATTCAAATTATCTTGCAATTTAATTGAGAGTAATAGCATACTGAGAAATATACAATAGTACACAAAACCAAAGTGCCCATCTATAAAAACAATAATTCAGCTAATTAAGAACAAAAGAGAGAGAACTTTAAAATACTATTGAATTATCCATCTACTTAAAAGAAAGTAGGGAGAGATTCAGGTCAGTCTCTACACCAGGGGTCCTCAAACCTTTTACACCAAGGGCCAAGTCACAGTCCCTCAAACTGTTGCAGGGCCAGATTATAATTTGAAAAAACATGAATGAATTCCTATGCACACTGCATCTATCTTATTTGTAGTCCAAAAAACACTTTAAAACAATACAATAATTAAAATGAAGAACAATTTTAACAAACAAACTTATTAGTATTTTAATGAGAAATGTGGGCCTGCTTTTGGATGATGAAATAGGATTGTTGTTGTTGTTGTGTGCTTTCAAGTCGTTTCAGACTTAGGTTGACCCTGAGCAAGGGCCGGGTAAATGACCTTGGAAGGCTGTATCCGGCCCCCGGGCCTTAGTTTGAGGACCCCTGCTCTACATGAATGAAATAGCTTTAGCACCACCACTAAAATGTTCCTGTTTCTCACATGCTTAATTACTTAGTTATATTGATGTTACAGAATGCAGAAACCTTGGAGCAGATCTCGTAGACCACAGAAGATTATATATTTCCACCCAAGTACACTATTAATTTGTGAATGTCAGTGCAGCAACAGAAGGTGAAGATTTCATGTGCATATTTATATAAAAAGTGGAATAATGCCTTCAGGTCTGGTCAATATTTCTCTGAAAACCAGATGCTGGGTGGGGAGGGTGGAATAGTAGTGAACATTGGCTTCGTGTCCTTGGTTGTGGGCTTCCCAGAGTAAAGGGTAACTGCATGAATAAGAGTGCTAGACAACAGACTATTTGTTCAATACAGCAGTACCCTTCTTACAAGCAATACAGCAGCTTGTTTGAAAAAAAATCATTTTGGGGGTCTTTTTTAATCAGTAGTGGTGTCATAGCTGTGGGACTTGCCACTCATCATAAAAAACATCAAGCCCCTTGTCTCTCCATCTTTAGACACTTTGTTCCGGTTTGGAGGATTAGGGTTCATAATCTCTGTTATGACTCATTTTGTGCCGATATATTTTTCCGTGTTGGTTGCATTACCGTCTATACCATAAGCTACTATGGTAACAGCGCTCCATGCAGTCATGCCGGCCACATGACCTTGGAGGTGTCTACGTACAACGCTGGCTCTTCGGCTTAGAAATGGAGATAAGCACCAACCCCCAGAGTCGGACACGACTGGACTGCCAGGGGAAAATTTTACCTTACTTTGGAAGTACATACACTTTTTAAAATTAGAGGATTACATGAAGCAATAAACAAGAAAGTAAATAAATAAATAATAAAAAGGTGGTTACCCTAATTCTAATATTGAAAACTCTTTAAAGCTGTTAGAAATAACAGATTTTGGAGAATGTGAAGTATATTATATATAGTCCTTAATGACATGAACATATAATTACTTTAAGTCCTACACCTGCCTGTAAAACAGTACATTCCCCTGTATTCTTATTTATTTATTTATTTATTGCATTTCTATCTCGTCCTTCTCAACCCCCAAAGGGGGACTCAGGACAGCATGCAATGGGCCCCATTCCAAAGCCATTACATAACAAATTACAAAATTAAAACCACAATGAGACATAAAAGCATAATTAACAATACATAAGCCATCATTAAAACAGTAAAACAGTCTTATCAGCCATATCGTCATTCCAGTCACATTCCCTTAAAGTGCTGTTTGCATCTATTGTCCAAAAGCCTGGTCCCAAAACCATGCCTTTAGTTTCTTTCGAAAAACTAGGAGGGAGGTGGCCGATCTTACCTCAGTTGGGAATGTGTTCCATAGGCGGGGGGCCACCACCGAGAAGGCCCTGTCTCTCGTCCCCACCAGGTGCATTTGTGCTGTTGACGGGAGCGAGAGCAAGGCCTCCCCGGATGATCTTAGGTTTCAAGGTGGGACATAGGGGTGGATGCGTTCGGACAAGTAAGCTGGGCCAGAACCGTATAAAGAACAATTCCTCCAGAACAGTGACTCCCAATCTTTGGTCCTCCATTTGTTTTGGACTTCAGCTTCCACAATTCCCAAAAGCTAGAAAATTGGCTAAGATTTCTGGAAGTTGAAGTCCAAAACAACTGGAGGACCAAAGATTGTCAACCACTGCTCTAGGACAACCAACTCCACAGTTAGCTTCTATGACCATCATTGTTTACAGTGCAGCAAACAAAGATAGACCTTTTCGGCATCCTAGCAACTGAGCATCCTCAACATTGAGTCTCTGTACTATACCAGATAAAGACATATATATTTCCAATCGTTCCTGAATTCAGGGAATGTTTTCACGTCATATTAAGACTATGACAAATTACAACTGAACATGCTACTTTATTGTGTTCTTGGATCAGAAGAAGCCAAAATACAGGCTGAATATCCCTTACCCTAATTCCAAAATCTGAAATTTTCCAAAATTTGGGTAGCTGAGATCATGACACCTTTGCTTTTTGATGGTTCTAGGTACATATATTTGTTTCATGAAGTAAATTATATAAAATTATCTTCAGGCTGTGTGTATAAGGGGGATATGAAACATAAATTAATTTTGTGTTTAGCCTCAGGTCCCATCTTCAATATATCTCATTATGTATATGCAAGTATTCCAAAATCTGGAAAACTCTGAAATGCAAAACACTTCTAGTCCCAATCGTTTCGGATAAGGGATAATGTAACATGTAATACAAACTGCAGGTTGAGGATTACCAATCAAGATTTTAGGAGCAGGATAACAAGCAGATTTCTCCCACATGACATATTATTCTAAGGACTTAATGATCACACTCAAAGAGACAATAAATAAGTCAGCTAGCTTGCCTTTCTCCATCTCCACAGTCTACCAAAACATGGAGTTTATACAGCCAATATTTATTTATTTTAGCAAATGTAACTGTAAGGTGTTCAAAATGAAATTTTCAGTAAGCATATTCCTTATATTCCAGCCGTTTCTGACTTAGACTGCTCTGATCTCTCTGGACCTGTTATACTATATGCTATAACCATGGTTTCATTAGTCTCGAGGCTAATGTTACTCTTCTGACAAATTACCCACTAGAAATTAACACATGATCTTCTGCTTGATATGCCAGGCCCTACAACTAGCGAGGCACTTGAGAACCTCTGTATGCTTTCACTATAAAATCCTAGCTGCAGAGATTATTTCTTGTACCTGTAAAAATGAAGCAATTTGGCTAAAACTCTTTTCTATCCTGCACTGTTTTATATGCACCACTTGTCTTAAAAAAAAACCCTAAAATGTATAATAGGATGAGAAACAAGAATTGGCTGAGACCACAAATAGTACATGAAAACTATGAAGCAATGCTAAAAATTAAATATTTCAATATTTGTAATGTTATAATAATTTTCTTAAATCCTCTAATCTCTTTAACAGCCTGCATTGAGAATGATGTATGATTCACATTACGTAAGGTTAAGGAAACCCAAGCAATTAAAAATATAAACTCATTGTAAAACTATGACAAGATTAACATAGCCATAAATATATTAATTTTTTTCGAAATTTAAATGTTCATTTGAATTGTATGTTGTTTCAAGGTACTGAATAGTTTCCTATATGTAAAGCTGCCTCGAGTCCCCTCTGAGGTTGAGAAAGGCAGGGTATAAATAGGGTAAACAAATAAAGAAATGAAATTTGTGCACTGATACACACACACACACACAAATATATATACATCCATAGACACACGCCATATATATTCAGACAAAACCACAAAGTGTTTC